TGACTTCGCATACACCCCTCTGACACTCATTCTGTATCACACACACACACACACACACACACACACACACACACACACACACACACACACACACACACACTCAGAAAGTGAATGTAAATATTTGACTTAATATTGATTGAGGTTAATATATATACTAAACTATATATATATAAGCCTCTAATATACACTTACATGGTGGTGGGAGGTTATATATTTTCATTATATATTTAATGAAAATTCAGTGCCAAAATATAATGTTAAATAATTTAATGTCTCTAAGTGTTTCATCTGTTGTTGCAATACTGTTTACAAAAGCAGTTTATTTTATTCTTCGCTGTTTCTGGAGTGCACCGTCACCCAGTGTCACATGACATGTAAGACTAGGTGAGGACATGAATGTCATTATGCTTAGAGCATGCACTGATTGTAAATGATATTGCTTCTGCTCAAATCTTGCCATTATCATTATAGTTATCGACAGTTATCTTTGTTATCAGATTTGATGTTGTATGCACTATGTTGATGAAAAATTACAAACTTGGCTGCTTGCTGTGATGCATTATGTATTTATTTACAACTGATTGTTTGAACAGTGAATGTTTTCTCATTCACTGTGCCAAATGGAGGATCCTGGAGACTGTTGCTTTGTAGATTTAATTATTCTCTTTTCATCAGTAGCATTTCTTTGCTTCATATATGAATACACTCTTTTGAAGGCGGTAAATTATTTGCTGAAATGGAAATAAAGTCTCTGTTGAATGGTGTAAAACGTGTGAGAAATTGGCTTTTATTGGTCACTGCTATACCAATCTGTGCATGCAAAGAACATGCACCATACTGATACATCAAATCCAAAACATATCGGAGAGTGGGAAAGTTATTTTGTTTTAGAGATCATTTTGAACTTGTATGGCCTTTTTCTCATAGCTAAAAGGCTAAGGGCTAGTAAATAATAATTAAGAAAATACATATCTGTATTATTCCCACTGAAGAATGTGGAGCTGTGTTCTCTACAAGGGAAGGGTCGAGTTATCCAGATATTTTATACTATATTTAGAAATAAATACTCTGTTATAAATACATTTTTTGGTTGTTGTTTTTTACTTAAATAAAAATACTAAAGAATGATCAAAGAAATGAATTATAGTTGAGTAAAACAAATGCAAATGTTTAACTCTAAAATGTAGTGGAGTAACATAATCATGTTGTGGAAAAACTAAGGTAATCGTTTTCTTTTGGTTCAGTTTGACTACATTGTTTTGAAAGTCTTTACCGGAAGTTGTAGAATGTTCTCATGTCTGCATTGACGCTAACTTTATAAATGTATTATTCCATTATGACCACTAGAGGGCGGTAAACACGGATGACTATACTTTCAAGCAACTGTCATTCCGCTTGACACTAAATCCTCAAGGCAAGAATAGACTAATCACCACATTAGAAAAGTATTGAAAATTTTAATTGTTGTTGTTTGCAATAATAACAGTATAACATTTGTTTTTTATTATTTAGAAAAAAGGATTATAGGGATATTAGTCTGCGTTAGCCATAGCTGTAGTTCCGCCCTGTGACCACGGGAGGGAAGTATCGACTAGTGATTATAAATACACTACACTCTTCATGGAACAGTCACTAACGAGCGAATGATACATGTTGTTGTTTTATATCTGGTATATAATTTAGATTGCATACTTTGAGGAACCTATGACCCAAGTTGTTCATTGCACAACTACACTGTAGCTATGTATTATGACATGTGAACCTTTGAACCTTCCCAGTTTATCACAATTTCCAAGTGGTGGCGCTAAATCACGTGACACGTTGTTTACCTCACACAAAGGTGCAGTAGAAGAAGAACAGCGGAACAAGAAGATGTGCGAGTTTCGTTTCCGAGTGACCTAGTTAGCTTCTGCTATTAGCATCAGTTATTATTCTTTATGTCTAACAATGGGATTGTCCGTTCTTAATGTAGCAGCTAGCTTTGTTTGATACCCAGTCTCTGATTGTTCAGACAAGAAGCGAAACAAAACATAGGAGGATTTCTATCTTGAAGCTTGGCTAAAGGGGATAGCCGTTGTTAGCCTCTTTTATTTAGATATTGCGATTAAAATGTGTTGTCAAACGATAGCTGTGTTGTAAATTCACTGTGTGTGGTTAGGGTTAGCTGGCTAGCTGGTTATCGATTGCTGGCTGATCAACGCTTGGCTATCTTCGTTAAGCTAGGTTCACTCCTGCAGCTCCCTTGGATGTTCACTGTGGTAAGTACCATTTATTATAAGATAATACTTTTACTACATTGATTGGTACGCATAAATCATTTCCACAACTAACTACATATCCATCCTTTTTTACCTATTGGTACTTGTGGTTGTAGCTTAGTTGTTGCTTTACACAATTGTGATGTAATACAATGTCAATATCTTTCTCTAGTATATTTCCATATATTTATGTTGCCTAGTGAGCTTGTCTATTGAAGAGAATTCACATGTATTCACTCTTTTTTTTTACATTGTGTATTATTTAGATACTATTGTGATATATGTCTGTTCAACTGGGAATTTGTGTTATATTGGTATCTTATTCTACCTTTAAAATATTTTTAAACTCGTGTGTTGTATGTACTGCTGTGACAAAAAATAATGTCCCAATTTGTGATGAATAAAGTGTCTTTCTATCTAATATTATATTATTAAATACCTCACTTTACTGTTAACTATGGTCAGCTGTAACAGTAGACGTCTGTTGACAGTCAAGGTGCATGCACATATGTGGGACACATTATTATAATGAAGAATAACAAGTGTTTTGAAGCAGCACTTCCTGTATCCCACTGAGAATATCACTTTGTACATTAGGAGTTTGTTATAAGTTTGTTTAAAACTACATCTTTTGCATTTAGTACCCATTTACGGTATTTTTTTCAACATTGTAGTTTGTTCAATAAGTAAAAAACGACATTATTAATAGTACAAGACACGCAATGGGTGTGGTTTTTTATGAATATTGGTTATTATTAGGTTTATTGTCCTTTTTGATTTTCACAATAGCAAAGGAAATATTGTCAACGCTTCATTTCTTGCTTCAATTTTATTTATAGGACTTTTTTCAGCGTTCAATTGCCTTATTTTACAGTGGGCCTTTTTACCAATTGTTTGCTTCAATTTCACTAAGCAATTTAAATACTTCATGCTGAATGCTGTATATCCTGCTTTTGTGATACAAGAAAAAGGATCATGTCATCGTCCAGTTGACAACAATCGAGTGCTTCAGATTCAGTCATTATATTCATGGTTTACAAACACAGCTCTCAACTAGGATACAACTGAAATAGAATCTATGCACTCTAATGTTAATAATTAAACATTTGTCACTTCTTCTAGTCCAAATGTTCACTAACAAGCCATTATATCCTTCTGTGTTGCAGTCAGGAAGTGACTCTCCGGCCCCATGTCTGCTGAGGCTTCAGTAGGCAGTCATGCTGCTGACTCGGCCCAGTCTGCTAATTCCCAGCCTGCCTTCCACAACTCGGATGAGCTCAGAAATCGAGGTCTGCTCGGGAGCAAGTATGTCAAATTAAATGTGGGTGGCTCCCTGCATTATACAACTGTCCAGACGTTAAGCAAGGAAGACAGTCTGCTGCGGAGCATATGCAATGGAGGAACAGAAGTTTCCATAGACTCAGAAGGTAAGTGGTTGTGTCTGGTAGACACTAAACGCTTCGACTGGATCCATTTGTTATGCTGTAATGTCTTGAAGCATGTGCCACTGATGTCAGCATTTTTAGTATGGATCTATTTTGACTTAATAGTTGTTTCAGATGCTCTGTTTTGAATTGATATACATACAAGTACTAACTTAATTCTAACATGAGTAGAACCTTACAGTTTTAGCATACATTGAAATATAAAATCAAATGTTCTGCAGTGGAGGGCAATTATACAACTCGTGATCTTCGGCAGCGATTCTAAGGGGCGGTGGTCAACCAGCTGATCAGTCTCATATATCTGTTTGATTTCTTTTCTCTTTGTGTATTTCCATATCATAGTTAATGTCGTGCACAGAGAGTAACGTCACAGCCACACACACACACACACACACACCATCAACCTTTGTGTGGAAGTTCTTAAGTAGAGGAAGTCATACAGCTCTGTAACACCTGCTAGGTAAAAACATGCAGATGGTGTGGCTTGATGCAGTTATCCAATATTCAATGTTTTATTACGAACATGAGTTTCGAATTCCCATTAAAGCAAAGTAACAGTTTGGCCAGCCAATTCTAAAAAGTAATGTTAATCGGCCAGGCAAATTGAGGTAGGTGCATCTTTAGCTTTTCAAACGTCAAAAATACTGTACTGAGATCTTTAGACAAGGAGTTTGACTCTCACACGCTGACTTTTACTACCAACTTTATCTGGCGTGGTCATGGTGTAACCGACACGATCAGTAGTATCAGAAAGGTGTCTTTGTTGGCTGTTTCCCCTTTTTTTTAGAGAACCAAAGTTGGCTGAAAAATACAAATGACTCAAAACTATTTTCCTGCTGTCCCAGGTTGGGTCATTTTGGATAGGTGTGGCCGACATTTTGGACTGGTTCTGAACTTCCTGCGGGACGGCTCAGTCCCACTTCCAGAGGATCACAAAGAACTGGATGAGGTTCTGAAGGAGGCGCAGTACTATCGGGTCCAGGGACTCGCGCAGCTCTGCATCAGTGCCATGCAGGTAAGCAGCTACTTTTGAGAATAAACAACAAACTAATACTTGCATATTTTCAGGGGGGATTTAAAATGTGGGGTTTCTCGTTATTTCTGAGGTTAAATTGACTTTAATATTAACTTTAACAAGTGTGTTAGTTAGATTGAATGTTTTTTTTAAATCTACTTTCTTTCTTTGCCTTCAGAAACAAAAGGATGTTTTTGAAACAGTGTGTCGCATCCCCATGATCACCTCAGCCAAAGAAGAACAGAAAATAATGGCTTCGTGTAGAAAGGTAAATAACTTTTTGTCTCAACTAAATGACAAAGGTGTGATTTATTATGTTTGGAGAGTACACAGTTTTCAAAAACCTTGTTCCCCATATACTACTGCTTTATGAGTATTTATACCTGTTTCTTTTCTCTACAGCCGGTAGTCAAATTGCAGAACAACAGAGGGAACAACAAATACTCTTACACCAGGTAAACTTCAAAGCTGACCGTGCACGTTTCTTTAGAGAGTAGAAAAACAATTTCATACGCCACATTTTTTTCCAAGCTTAATCCCAGTTCACTTGACATGAATTAATGCATCTTTTCCGTTTAAACTAACGTGCTCTTTCTCTCTCCCCTTTGTCCAGCAACTCTGATGATAACCTGCTGAAGAATATTGAACTCTTTGACAAACTGGTGCTCCGGTTTAATGGCCGCGTCCTGTTTGTCAAAGATGTGCTTGGGGATGAGATCTGCTGCTGGTCTTTCTACGGAGAAGGCCGCAAGATCGCTGAAGTGTGCTGCACGTCCATCGTCTATGCCACAGAGAAGAAGCAGACCAAAGTAAGTCATGTCTAGTTTGTACAACATGTCATTAAAGCAGTAATGACATGACACCCTTCTAAGGTAAATATTAATACATGATTAAAACACAAGAGCAAGTTCCCCCCTTTTTCCAGTCTTTAAGCTAACCTAACTTTCTGTAGCTCTATATTTTAACTGGAAGAAAGCGAATAAGTTCATCTTCCAACATGTTGAGCTAATGTATGTCTTAAACCTCTTATTGAAAAACAGAAGATAACTTAATTATTTATATTCTACTATAATGGTGAATGTAACTGCAGGAAATGTATTTTACTAATTCAAATGCCAGGTCTGAAACTGAATTGATTCTTTCTAGGTTGAGTTTCCTGAGGCCCGAATCTTTGAAGAAACCCTCAATATCCTCATCTATGAGAATGGCAGAGGGTCTGGACCAGGGGGGTTGCACCTTTTAGACGCCAGAGGCTCGGGGGCCTCACTGGACGAAGAGGGGGCTACCGGAGGCGAAAGGCGAGTTAGACGGATCCACGTAAGGAGGCATATAATGCATGACGAAAGAGGGCCCGGTCAACAAACTGTGTATAAGGACTAATAATGTGAAAGCATACTGCACGGAAGAGCGACTTCATGTATGTTCATTTATTTTCTTCTCCAATGCTAGAATGAAAGAGACGTCCTTGATAATAGCAATAGCTCAGTAGGTAGATATTTCCTTAAATGTCTTGAGACGTCACTGCACAGACATGTAGGAGTCGATGACTGATGTGGAACAGAAGAGACGTTTTGCTTCTGTTTACAAGAAAACAAAATGTGTACATAATTTAAATAGGAAATGTGTAAATGTACCTGGGATGTGAAACTGGCATAAATATTTCTTGGCAAATGTTAAAGGACATACTATGCAGGATTTGTCGGCTATTTGTAAACACATAGCATAAAAGTTGAACAGAGCTAAAAAAATAAATAAAAAATAGTGCAACGGTGGTCGAGTGAGTTAAAGAGTGACGAGTCAAGCAGACCAACCACAGTGGAGAGAGACAGGAAATCTAGCCTCTACCTTATTTATTTTGAAGTCCTGTGCACTGTTTTTGGTTGGGGGCTGGCCACTTCTTCCTAAAGGAAAATCTAATAAGAAAAATAGTTCCAGACACCACCTAAAGTGGAACATAAATGATGATAGAGAGATTCTTTGGGTATGAGTCTATACATTGTTGTTATGGAAATCCTGCATAGTATACCTTTCTTAAGGAACCTCCTGCGAGTAACTGAATGGGCCTAAAAACCCGACTCTCACCTCACCTGTGGGTGTTAATAATGTGCACTGGCACCCTCCTTTGTGTTTGGCTTATAGGAATTACTGTAAGTCAGTTTATTCAGGTTGTGAAACATCTTTCATTCGTTGGACTGATATGCAGCCTGACAGCGATGATATTCTAACACTGGAATAAAACTGAGTAGCCATTTTTAGGGAGGTTGTCTATAAATGAGATTGTTGAGCAGCTCCATTTTCTTTATTTAAATTATTACTGCTGTTGCTTCAAGATGTTTTATTAATTTATGAACCTAATTTATTGTTTGGTATTTAACTTTTTGTATTGTATGCAATCTTTGTGTTAACTAGTGCTGAAGTGAGTTTAATTTTTGAAATGATACAATGCACTCGATAGCACACACCAGATTTTGAATTGACACCTGTAAATGACTAATGTTTCAAGAAGAACCGTGACCATTTCCTTGAGAACTCATTTTGTTCTGAGCCAAGACCTTTCACTTTATGTCTTATACCAAACCACTGAAATTTGCTCAAAATAATTGGCCATAGAGTGATGATAAATGCAATTATTACTGGGTTGTATTTGAATTTAACCTTCATGGAGGTGATACATATTTAATTTCTGATATCCACCAGTATCTTGTGCACACCTAATCACCCTGAAAACAAAACATTGAATGAGAGCAATATATATCTCTCTTAATAAAGTACCCTAAGAATACCCTAAAATATGCACTAATATGACTTCCGTCCTATAGTGGTCATGAGAATGTTCTGAATAAATTATTTGTGAAATCCAGCTTCAGCTTCTTGGTCTTATTGTTCTCTATTTCCTAAAGTGTATAAAAAAGAAAAGGACTCAAACACTTACAGAAAACAAGTAAAAAGTGTGTTTGGTTTTATTTTGCCATGTTATATTTTGGGACCTAGACAATTGCAATTGTCATATTGTTTTTTGTGATTCAACCACACTTGGGGAGCCTTAATAAATTACCGCTCGAACTACAAAACCAATGTAACTTTCAGTGTGTCTTTATTGAATCATCTAACTAGCTTCCATATCATCTATTTACTATATACATTAGTTTTAGAAAAATCACACACCTTATCATGTTACCTTATTACTCCAAACAAATACAGCATTGTATTACCACCTATACACGTAGGATGGATTTATTGAATTGTAGTGCCTTTTCATTTTGTGAAAACATAGCTCCTAAAAATATGTGACATAATTATATCAAATCAACACAAGAAACATAAGACACTTATAGGGTTTAAGTGCTTTTTCTATTCTTTATGAATATTTTAATGAAAATAAAGGAGCTTTATTATTATTTAGCACATAAAAAAGCAGTTAAAATAACATTGGTGTTGGTTTTGTGTTCAACCAGTATGAATTTGAAAACCTGAGTAAGAGCAAGGACCCGGAAGTGAGCTAACCGTTCTCTGACAGCCAACAGTCTGAGAAAATTAGTAGAAAGATCCAAAGTTAATGTCTTTAGAATATACAACCTAAGAAACTTCACAGCTGTCATGTTAAGGCTTTCTAAGTAGACAAATAAGTGCTTCAAATTCATTTCTAGAAGAAAAAAAAGCGCAAGTTTGTATTTGTGTGTATATGTGTTGTATTTTGAAAACCCGCTGGTCTGACGTCACTTCCTGTCAAGTCCTAGGGCCCGCAACCGCCAAAAAGGACCGAACATAGTCAGACATGGATGTGACAGAGAAAGCGAAAACAGGTATCCGCAGGTTTGTGTGTGATCAACTGCGTGATGAGCCAGACCTCAGGTACAGTTAAACAGTTCAACAACGTTTTAATGTAGTGCTGTTACTTTTTACTGACAATAAGTTTACTGGCCTTTGTGCTTTGACTGTTTGTGTGTGTTGCTAACTTTGGTCCACATGCTGTCAGCAGGAATACACACAGGCAAACACTTGTTTGAAAATGTTTTTTTATAAATGCTGTAGTGTAACTTTAATGCGCCAATGAACTTACCATTAAGATACGATATACGATACGATATTGCTTTATTTGTCAGATCAAGTCTGAAATTTGACTTGCGTCACAGCAGCTCCATGTCCAACATCAACAGACAAGTATCCAGACACAATACATGAAACACAAACATCAAACATTTAACATAATATCACAATCAGTGGGAGAAAACATGCTCAAAGAGCCTTCAGCATGACTCATGATGTTATGGTTTTCACCCAAACAAAATGCGGGAATCAGCCTACTTTGGCGTTTATGTATGTAACGTTATCAGTTGCACACCTTTTGGTTGAAAGTGGTAACTTTTAGTGAAACGAGGGATGCCATTTTTTGGAAAACAGTATGTCCATTTATCCAAAATACTCATACATACAGCACCTCACAATTGATTGCCTGCAAAAACCTGTGACTCGTTCAAAAATACTCTAATTGTATTTAAATGATTGAAAGTCAATACTTACCTGAGAACCAGGCATTCATTTATCAATGCATTAATTCATAATTCGACTTGTTGTGGCTCTTTGTTTGTAAATTACTAAACCATTTCCTTTTTAATATTGTGTTTGGATAATGAATACAAATACAGCATATACCACATGTTACCGTCTAACATTTTGAAATGTACTTTCAAACAATCTACATGAAAAACTACTATTACTCCACTGTACGAATACTATTAAAAGTAGTGCCAACAAAATTACATACTCCCAGTTTCTAGAACTGAATAAAGTTGTCCATGTAATTTGGTAAATGAAGGTAAGCTACGGTATTTTGTGTCTAATCTATGAGCTGAAATTGGATATCCCATACTATCATAATAGCAGCTGTGATTTTCAGCAATCTGAATTCCCTCCTTTCCAACGTAGCTGTGTCACCTTTTAGGCTTTGCATTAAAGTGTCTCTTCAGTATTTGAAGTCTTTATCTGTTTAAAATGTCATTTAGTGTAATGTGGGTTTTGTTTATTGTCTTCAGGTATATTCCCTAAGCTGTGTTCAAAAACAAAAGCTCAAGTTAATTATGTTGCTTACTATAAATGACCTTACACATCATGAAGTAATCTTTCTATTGTTTTATTTTTCCAGCACACTAACCTTAAGAATATTGAAAAAGCGATACCTGGAACGTGCGCAATGTGACTCATTAAGTCCAGAGGTCAAACTTTTCATAAAGCGGGTGGTTGAAGAGGAACTAATCAAAATGCAGGTATATGAATTACTCTTTAGCAAAGCTTACATTTTCAGTGAACTGTAGCTTTTGTATTCATCAGCCCAGTTTCATATTAACTGCTAGGAAAATGATGAAAACGATAGTGAGCTGGAAACCAAGAAGTCCCAAAACAAAAGGAAGAGAGATGCTGAAAATGATGAGGTGTTGAGTGGGGGGGAAGACGAAGATGTATCCAAAGCAAAAAAGCCCCGTCGTCGATCGAGCCCATCCTCGGGTAGGTTTAAATGCTTTCTTTGTTTGACGTGTTTAGATTCTTCAAGTATTTATTAATTATAGCATGTTGTTCTTTTAATTACTCAACGGAAAATGCCCTGAACCAAAATTAACAGCTGGACTCGGGCGTCAAATAATCATTAATTTCATAAATGATTTGGTATGAGAAGGTTTGTTGTCTGTGGTGATGTAATCAGCGGTCTTCTTTTGTCCTTGAAAAAACTCTATAGATATACAGGATAAAGTAAAAGAAAGAAATGCAGAATCTCCTAATTATCCAAAAGTTGGAAACAATAATGTTTGACATTTGAGTTTAGAAAATGTCAAACATCGATAACTTGCAACTCTTAAGAAGAATAAATAACTGTCTTAAAACCACATTTTTGTTTGTTAGCCATATCAACAAAGTCAATCTGATCATCTCACTCACTCTGCACCTATGTTAACTTAAAGGGGACCTATCATGCAAAATGTACCTTTTTTTCTTTTATACATAAATATGTGTCCCCGGTGTGTCGGGGAACTCACGCAGCGTCAGAAAATAGAACCCTCTCTCTTTTCATCCGT